GGGATGGTACAGTGCCGACAGCTGCCATAGCAGCAGCAGCTACTTTCTTTTCTGCTGGCATCTCCCTCAGGGCTTTTACGCTCGTTCGCCAGACCAGCCCTTGCTGTCGTGCTTCACTGCCTTTATTGCCTCCAGTGATAGTCTCATCCCACAATAAATCACCTACTTCGCGCCACACCTGTTGGCTAAATATTAGCGAGGGGTCACTCATTCTGACCCGTTTTCTAGCCCACTTAACCAGATTGTGGACATCTTCTTTTTCACCTCTCTTAGAGAGCATACTAAGAAGCAGTCTTATTGCCACGTCCGTTTCCATCGCCGTCTTACCTCCTGGCAAGGGTCAGTCGGCCAGCTGACTCGGTTGCTCGCGTCTCCTTTTCGCAGCAACTCACTTGCTCACCACTCTCCGGCTCCCAAATCGAAAGTTCATTCGATGCTGCGGAGTCTTCAATCCATATTTAAACATCCGACTTCAGAGGCTATACAGCGTCCTAGTCAATCTGAGGGTCCCTGTTCAGGGCGCCAAATGAAGAGGGTCCCAATACGGAGAGTGGCCCGAGTAACGACAATCACCCCGATGCGGCTCCATGTCGTCCCCCTCTATTGCCCGAATTGCTGGGTTATGTCCTTTGCACAGCAAGCACCCGCTGTTCACGCGCCCCATACCCCTGGATTATTGGTCGTAAGCAACTTATCACGCACCCAAAGGGAAACTGTGATAGGCAAGCATCTTGCTGTTTGCTGCATACTTGTGCTTAGCTTAGCCAGATACATAGCTGAGAAAATTCCTCATTAACAGATACAGTTCCTCACAACACAGCCCTTCAAGGTCATCCTCATAACACAGGTGTTGTTAGCAGTCTGATCTCAGGCCTGGATTGTCCAAACCTTGCAACAAAACATTGTGGCCGTTCTCTGACAGAAATTCTACTACAAATTTATGTTGCACGTCTTCTCTATTTCTTTGGTGTGCACTGGCGCCTTCTGGGATAGATCAGCAGTAGTGTGGAAGGCGGCTGTAAAGCTGTTGTGTGTCATATTAGCCAGCAGGTATACACTGTGCATGGACATGGCAGCCACAGCAGATCTGTGCATCTTATTAATGTTTGCTGCCTCATTCATCCTACTCCAGCAAGTCTTGGGCTTCTTTTGATTCTTCAACACAGTCTGTGAGAGTTGACTTGAAGAGCAATTTGGGCGTGGGGAAAGGAATGTCTGCTTACTTTCTTCACTGTTGTACAGTGTTGTACAGTCCACAGGGGTAATCCCTTGAAGAGTGCCAAGCTGGTGGATATTAATTCCTTTCCAGTTTTCCACCTTCTCATTTTGACTAACTTCTGGCCACACATCTGCTTTACCAGCATGGAAAGACTGTAAGACCTCCTGCTCTCTCTGCCCTCATCTGGATAAACAAACTACAGCCAGTTAAGCAATTTGTAAGAAGAGTAGTAAAGGTTGCTGTGACAGCAGGTCTGCTTTCCCCCCCAGCTGTAGAATTCTGATCACCATACAAACGAAGGGCAGAATCAAGACTGCGAAAAGTTTTTGCAACAATTGATGAATTTTGCAACACATATGTTTTCAGATGGACATTAGGCATCGGGCACTTCAGGGGTAAACTTGGTACCTCAGAGGTATTAGAGGTACAAGGCTAACTCTGCCTAGGAAGCCAGACAAGCCATGGAAGAAGACCCAGCGACTACGGTCATGTGAAAAGAGGACTGGACAGATTAGGGAGACAGGCAAGCATTTAGAAGTACCAGCAAGAAAGACATTGGAAAGGCAGTGCCAGTAGCTTGCATAATACCGGCCTGTAAATGCAACGGGGCAATGGCAACATTTGCCAAAGCATAGTCAGTGGGATAGAAGGCTTCTCAGTGGTGACTGAGAATAAAATAAAAGGTATTGGCATAAGGACACAAATGTCATGATGGGGAGGGCTGCTGGAAAGAAGAAAGTTTCCAAGGACAGATTTATTTTGCTGTACAAGGAAAGATGTTGCTGAATTCTGAGACAGATAACTCCTGCTCAGAACTAAAGATATATGTGCATAGTTATCAGAAGAGAAAGATGGATTAATCCAATAACTTTGCAAGGTACACAACTCTCCTGCTGCTCACACCTTCTCATCCACAAGGATACTGATAAATATATTCCTCTGCTGTAAATGTAGAAGCTCTTCACAAATGTTATTAGTCTCAGTTGTTCAGCTCTAACCACAGGACATAACTTGTATCTCATAATGAGTCTTTCTCTGTCTGGTCCATATACATGGTATGGAAGCTTGTTCACTCACACAAGACTAAGATTATTTAAACATGAAACATCATTGCATGTCTCTGAGTTCAATAGAGATGCAGTAATTATTTTCACCTAGTAATTAAAAAAAAAAAAAAAGGTGGAAATCAAAAGACAAGCCCTTTCATTGTACCAGTGGAAACATTATTGTGAACTGTCTTTACAAAACCACAGGAAAGAGCAAGCTAAAAGTACACACATAGTGGTAGAGTTTTAATTGAGGTCATGTAATTTAATTCTGAATTATATTATATTAGTTCAAAGGCAAACTGAATTAAAAAAATACCTGTTGGATTATGCAGAATGGAGTTCCTCTTCTTAATAGCTCTAGAAAGATTACAGTGTCACGAGGCTCCATCAGTCAGAACAGAAAAAACAAAGAGCAAGGATAAATCGAAGGTTAAGTTCATGGCGCTGAGGAACAGCCCAACCACCTTCCATTTACTGTTATAAACCGGATGGGTTTGTGTTGATGGATCTATTAAGAAGGGAAAACAGAAATCTATATTCAGACAGTGGCTTTCTGCCCATACGTTTCCCCTGACGTATACAACTGTCTTGTATTTTGCCATCTCAGCTAACAGATTGTCGTTATTTCTGTGTGTAGATTTTCTAACAGAAAGAATGATCTTATTCTCAAAGGGCTATTAATTTATTTCTAAACTTTTCTTTAGCCAAGAAAAGAGAGCACTCCAATATTTTTTCATTGTTTCTGTTCAACAGAAGAGCAGAACGAAAAGAAACAAAGCCCTAAATCCATAGAAAGATCAAATTCCTTCCTGATGTAACTCCAGCGAAATAATTTAATACAGCCCAGAAATGTGCTCAGTCCATGTATTTTTGCTGTGATGAACAGAGGAACAGTAAATGTTCTAAGTATTTCAGGAACCTCAAACAGTACAATGTCTATATGGTAGGACTCAACATGGAGATTTTGGACTGGAAGATAATTTTATTTTTACTTTGTTCGTTTCCTTTTCATTGAAAGGCATGGAGACTGTACATCCTGAGGGAGCCACCCAGTTCCTTTCTACATCAAGAGATCTACATCACAGTCTGAGTTTGGTTTCAGTGGGAGGTAGAACAGGCTGCACATGCACAAGAAACATACGGTGAGGTAACAGTATGTTATTATATCATGTAATCACTAGAAAGGTGTACCATCAACATATTCCAGTTGCCTAATTTTTCTTTAACTGATTTGCTGCTGCAGGCTATTTGGTGCCTTTAGTTCAACAGTTGTGCTCTTTAAAAGGACAGTGCTAAGGTTGCCCTAAAACTTGTATCTATAAAAACTGACTTTTAGAAAACCTGAAATTTAAGGAATTGCTATATGCTGTTGTTAAATTTCGGTTTAAAGACCCTCTGGCAATGCCTGAATTGCCATACAGCAGCAACTTGAAGCTACGTTAAACAATATAATAGAAACTAAAACTGCTTCTGTTGCTTTTCATTGACTTTGTTGCTTGACGCTGACCAGAAACATTATTGCCTGAGTTTTCATTGTGTAAGCAGCATCTCCTTAAGCTGTTGTCAGGCTGTATGGCTACAGTCAGCAGCAGAAGCCCTCTCTGCTGTAGTAGCACATAGACCAGCTCTGAAAGTGGCTTTCAAGGTGTTCCGGTAGCTTTGGTCCCTATGGTTTGAGAAGCCTCTGCTGGATAGTGCTCTTAATAAATGTGGTGATACTCTGTGGTATGTCATTGCCTTTTAAGATTTCATTCAAAGCGCAGAGTACTACTCTACTCCTGGGTTATGCTAGCACAAGTTCCCATCCATGAACACCCTCCCTACCTTTTGGGATATCACTTGAGCTTGCTTCTCCAAGTGCTTCTGCTCTTTTCTAATGCAATATGAATGGTATAAATGAAGAAAAGGGTTTCTCACTGCAGTTGAGAAAATCACCAAGTTCTGAATGGAATTGAAAAGCAGCTGATCAGTTTTGGGCACATGAGACCGAGTAGGGAAACCAGGGGTGGTTCTTCCCACCCCCCTCTCTTTCTCCTAAGTGTGGATTAAATCACACTTTGTAAATAAAAACTGTGTGAATTGTGTGCCAAGTCATATCCCGTCTACATCCTCGCAAGTAGCAATAATTTTGGAAAGATTTAGCACACAGATTAAAGGGTTCGTGGAAGCAGTCCAGAGCGCTTCTAACGGCTTGGCTCTAATTAGTCATTCAAGTTGTTTCTTTTTAAATAAGGCTCAGAGGAACACGCTAATTTTAGGATGCCGGGGCGGGGCGGGGGGTTTCTCTCCCACCGGCGGAGCCCCCCCTGAGGCGGCGGAGGGCGCCCCTGGGCCGTTGAGCCCCTTCGGCCAAGCGGGCCGCCCCGTCGGCTAAGGGACGGGGAGGCCGAGGCTCCCCCCGGCTCCCGCAAGGCCGGTGCGGGATTAGCTCTGCGCCTCGTCCCCTGCCCTGCCCTGTCCGGTCCCGCCGGTTTAAGGTCGGCTCAACCCGGCGCTCCCGCCCCGCGGCTCCGTCCCCGCGCCCGCCCCTCAGGGACGGCTGCCCACCTGCCCCGCCGGGCGCCGCCCGTGACGTCATGGAAACCCCTTCCCTCGCAGGGGCGGGCGGGCGGGAAGAACGGCTGCCCAGCAACGAGGGGGCGGGGCGCGGGGGGGGAAGGGAATAGTGAATTCCTGTTGGCCACGAGCGGCTGCCAATCGAGCGCGGCGGTCCCGCCCCCTCTCGTGGATGTTCCCCGGCATCCGGAGCGAGCAGAGGCGTCGCTCCGCGCGCCTCCGCCCTGCCCGCCGGGGGAACGGCGCAGGTAGAGCGGCTCTTTATGGTTGCGGTTGTCGTTCCCGCCCGACTCCTTCTTCCCTCCTTCCTGCTGGCCGCGGGGCGCCTCTGCCCGGGGGTCATGGCGGGCGGCAGCTCCTCTGGCGGCAGGTGAGGAGCTCAGGTGGGTGTCCGGGCGGCGCTGGCGGCCGCTGCCCTGCCGCGCCGTTAAGGACGGGGCAGAGGAAGGAAGGAAGGAGGGCGGGCGGGCGGTGGTTGCGCCCCCCCCGTCGAAGCGCGGCGGTGTGCCGGTGGGCGGCGGGCCGGGCCGGGGGAGGCGGCGGGCGGCGGCGGACTCGACACGCGAGAAAAGTGGCTTTTTACCACGCAGCAAGCACTCCTCTCGCCCGGCTGAGAGCGAGAGCCCCGAGGGCTGCCGGCTGTGCAGCGCCTTACCCCCCCCGCGCCCCGCGCCTCCCGCCGAGCCCCTCCCCGGTCCCCGCCCGCGGGGGTCCCCGGCCGTGGTGCCACAGCCGTTCCGGAGCGGCAGCCAACTTAAACCCCCTGTCCCTGCAGCGGGAAGGTGCTGCCCAGGGCTCCTCGTCCTTTATTTAACTCCCGGCGCGCTGCCTGCGGCACCGAGACGGAGCGAGTTCCAGCGGGGGGTGCGGGGGGGGGGGGGGCCTTGCCCGAGGAGGTGGGCAGGGGCAGGGCTCCCCCCTGCCGCGGCCCCCGGGGGGGTCGAGCTGGCAGCCGGCCGGCTCTTAAACGCGACTTCAGAAATCTTGGGCATCTTTGCAAAGACGTCACTCGCGTCTAAATCTCTGGTTCTGCGCTGTAAACTTAAAAAATGCCACCATTCTTTTTCATTTTTTTTTCCCTTCTTGCCCGCATCTTCAAGAAAATAGGTTAATTAAATCCAGCCACTTCAGTTTCCAGGTTGATTTAATTTTCGTTTGAGGACAAATTAGGCAATACGAGCGTTTAAATACTCCATTACTTGAAAACTGTTTGGAACAGTTCACTGCTACTGAAGTTCTCTTCACTGACACTTGCTGATTTATTTTTACTTGAAGGATATCTGGAATGGCTAGAGAAAAGGGCGTTTAATAAATTCACTTCTTCCTTGTAAGGTAATTTGTCTGCCTTATGTTTTTGTCCTAGGCCTCTAATGATGGTAACAGTGTTATTTCTTCTCTGCTTTTTTGAAAAGAGACACAGGGAACAGTTGGTGGTTGCTTCATCCCTTTACTTTCATTGATTAATCATAGAGTTCATGATGTTTCACTATACTACTTAATTTCAACAGAGCTTGTAAGTCTGGTTTGGGTATTTAAAGCAAGTGTTTTCATGGATGTTTTCTGTAAAGCCATGGGCAACAACAATTTTAAATTCCATGAGCTTTGTTATTTATTATTGAAAATTTTTTTAAAAAAATCTCTCAAGTAATGCTCCCTAGTCTGTACTCCCAGTAGTTTAAGCTAAATATTTTCTACTGTGGCTCCTAGTCTATTTACAAAGCCGTAGCATTCACAGTTCTTCATTCTTTTTCTTTACTCTGATATCCCCTTCCCCACATACTGCATTAGGCCCATTTATGCCTTCTCTTATAATTTGGTATTACACCTGGGTTTGCATGCAGGAAAGGTGGGAGGGGAGTTTTACGGATTGGAGATGCTCTCTGTGTATGAGTGTGCATCTGTGTGTGCTGAACAGTTGTGGTTGGGTTGAAATTACTAGCATGTTCACCAGGGACAGGAAATGATGGTGAGGCTCAGCTGGAGTCTCGCTTATTGCAACACTGCATGTGGGGCTAGCTCATTCACTTTTGCAAATGTAAGTATACTGTGTTTTATACAAAACCTTACTTGTTTTTTTTTTGGTAGCCGTGCATGTGTCATGGTACAGAATTTGGTCTACTTCAGACCACATCCATTATAAATAGATGCATGTAAGTCTAACGAGCTTTCCTTCATTTGTTGCATTCTGTACGTTTTGTTACGTGCCATGTAGAAAGTAGAGTGGAATAAGTAATTTCTCTGGCAGTCTGAGATCTTATGCTTTCTAACTGTAAAAGTGACTTTTCAATTGCTACAAACAGTGCTCTTGGCAATTTAGATGTGAATTATGTTTTTAACAGGAAGGCTTTTCTCATTTTGTAGCTAATATATTTTGAGCTTAAATTTTATTTTCTGTAGTGTGCATTTCCAAAAAAATGTGATGGACGAGGTAGCAGAACGAGTATGGGACTGTGATGTGGTACACATATGTCAGAAATAGCATAGTATTTAGATCAGCATATTTTGATCTCATTGAAGTCAGTAGAAACGTCTCAATTTATTTCAACTATGTTAAGACTTGTCTCACCGAAAGCATAAAGTTTTGCTGGTAAAGACTAGGGGATGCTGTGACACACCACTACTAAGGAAGCCAAAGAAACTTCTAGGAGAAGCTAATTGCCTTTTCCTGGATCAAGTTTCTGATAATAGGATGCAAATATTGTAAGATCTGACAACTCTTCAGAGCGGGACTAATGTGTTTCTGTTACCGAATTTACTCAGCTCTACTCTTTGAGGTGCTGGATATTCATGTCTGTCTTCTGCATTTGTGGTATACTTTGGGGGACAGACATTGTTTTTTAGTCTCCTTCAGCTGTCACTTGTGGTAGAAGTACATAAATCCTTGAATATTATGCCTTGAAATACATGTTTCATTGCTTTAGTTTCTCATTTATCTGAAGGACAAGGAGATTTTGTATACGTAATGTTCTGTCCTGTTGTGAGTACTTATATTTTATGTTAGCAGAGTAAGCATGTCTCCTTGATGTTAATTTTTGATTACCTTAGAGCAAAGTTTGCTGTCTGCCTTCAAGGTTGAATGATGTGGGTGTTATGCTAATGAATATGGCAATCTAGGTAAAGTTAGAAACATAATAGCTAAGAAAAGCACAGCTGTGGGTCTGATCTTGGGAGGCAGGATATCCATAACTCCTCCTCCTTTCAATCTGTTTAAGCTTGTTGCTCATGCAAAGTTCTTGAAGCTGCTTGTGACTTTCGCATAATGCAAATGTTCAGAAATAGCAGATTCTATTATATATGAAGTTATGACACAAATTGACAGTGTTGGAGTAGTGGTTTTGGAGCTCTGTCAACATGAAATTTATGGCACATTATTGCAAGTTGCTAGAAACATTAAAAAAAAAAAAAAAGGTTGCGGACAGCCTCAGTGAAGGCAGAAAACTTGCTTAAATTCTTTCTGATTTTCTGTATTCCTATGTCTCCACTGAGATGATTGTTAAATGATCAGAGTTGATTTGTTTTTTAATACGAGTTTAATGGCAATTCTGGTACCTGCCTTTTTAGTGAAAGCAGGGAATGCTCTAAGAAGTGCTGGCTGGGGCTGAGAAATGCATTTGGTGAGCACAGCTCAGCCTCTACCGTCCTGCCCGTCTGGTGTGCCAGAAGAGCACTGACTCCGTGCAAGCTCCTTAGGGTAGAAGTCACGTGTTAGCATGTGGCACTAAGCCCAGCAGTGCTTAATCCTATTTCAGTGTCTGGGCGCTCCAGGATGCTAACCACGAAAATAAAGAAATAGGGTTGAGCTGCTTTTGATATGGAAGGTGCTAAGTGATTTTTGCGATGCCTATTTGCTAATGATTCAGAGTCTTTGGATGAAGGCTTTTCTAGATGTGGCTCTTGAATCTTGTTCTGTGGGAAATAAGTACTTGATAAGCTTGACTTGACAGGAATCCCTGTTATGTGCAACAGGAGGGAGGAATAAGAGTGAGAACTGACTTTCACTGACCTCTAAGCCCTAAGCTGAAGTATTACGTCGAGAATTGCTATGAGTTTCTAGCTATTAGAGAGATCTCCAGGCATACTAATGGTGTATCTGGCTGTAAGACAGCCTGACATAAAGATAGTAGCTGCCTAATAGCACCTGGTAAGTCACAGAAGGAAGTCTGCAGATAAGATTCTTTATGTGCCTCTGTGTGCCGCTTTTCAATTTTATAACAGTTTAGACCGAATTTGAAAAATCCTTCGTTTGAAGTCATTGAATAGCATATTAGCCAAGCTCTGCATTCCTTGTCTGACCAAGAGGTGTATATATCTGCGTTTCTAGGTATCTCACTTTCCAGTCCAGTTGTTAAATGTTCTTGAACTGAAGATTTCCTCTAAGTTGTGGGGTTTCGATGGCTGAATCATATATGTGTTGTTAAATACAGCTGCTGCCATGTCAAGGCTTAATTATTTTCTTCTGAACATTTTCTTTGGCAATTACGTTGACACAGGTGTGCAAGTAACTCTCCCTTTCTCCTGCTTTCCCATGTAATGCATGAATTAAGGAGATTTTTCTTTTGATTCATCCTTCCATAATAGCAACTTTTCAGTGATAGCTTCAGATTCTGCCTGCATGTTGGTTGAGCTGAAACCTAAAAAGCCATCAAGCAAAACGTGGTAGTATGTGGTGCTGCAATTGTCATTCAGCACTTGGATTTAACTGCTGTTCTTAGAATGAAGACGGTAACAGTGCAAAATAGTAAAGGTGAGAAGCTAATCCTTGTTTGTACCAGTGTTTAACTGTTCTGTGTTTACTGTAATGTTACTGGTTGGATTTCAGTAATGACTTTTTGTTGCCATTAGAAAAACCTGAAGCATTGGGCATTCGTTGTAGCCTCTGATGAACGTTTTTAGGGTAGAAGTCTGAAATGTTTCCCTGGCTGAATGTAGTTGTACTCCTTCCTCAAATTCTACCAATTTTGTTATTACTGCTTGTGATAATACTGCAAAGAGTTTGCTATTACAACTGTCATCTTTTACCTGTTGTGGAGATCACTTAGGTCACTTTTAGGTCACCTCTCTGATCTGACTTACACCACTTTCTTGTGATTCTGGAGGCTTTTCCTAGTTGCAGTGTCTGCGTTGTTACTGTTCTGATTTTAGTGTATTCCATTTCATATAGCTGCTGGTGAAAACAAATAAAGCTCCTGATGAAGAACTGTGTGGGTATACTCGGTTTGCCTTACACGTTTACTTTTTTCTGCCTGAACAGTAGCTGAAACCACAGAAAAGACGATTTCTGAAGAGCTTGTCAATCACCAACAGAACCTTGTGTGCAGGAGACTTTATCCTTCTCATTGCGCAAGCCCATTTGTGTCACTGTTAATTCTGTTTGTTATGGAAG